AAGTCCAGAATGAATGCTCTTTCCATTTGGGAATTGTAACCTAGACATAAATCTGACCTTCAAGGGGATGGGTGGTAAGCTAGAGAGTCAGTCACTTCTAGTTGTAGTTATACAAGGGTCTTAACGACCAGATTATAAGTTTGGGTACAAAACCCAGTCTCCTTCGCGGGAAGTATTATTTATGCTATCGTAAACCGTGATAACGAGTGTGTTTTGTTCTATGTAGTTTTTGTTGGCTCATCAGCGTAACAGTAGTGAGTGGTGTTTCAGTGTGTCGGAATATTGTAATTTGTGTGGCGTTTTAAATGTTTACTAAAATTTTGCTGTCCATTTGTGTTTCATTGGCTCAGTATATTCATTATGGCATGCTTACATGTTTTGTGTAATAAAATGCTGAACAGTTTTACTTCGAGCGGTTTTTTGTAAACACTATGAGGCGGGGTAAGTTTTTTTCGGTTGAAATCATTTTGCTGCAGCCTGGAATATAATATCTGTGCATACACTATTTCCTAAGTGCTGCATATGAAGTTGCCGTTGAGTATGTATGCAAGAAAACTATCTGGTTTGTTTTGTATAGTATTATGGACGATCTTATTTTTTGAACCAGCTGGAAAGATCCAGAGTGCCCTTTGCTAGTTGATATCTGACAAATCTAAAAATATAATGAGACCTGGCCCATTTCGACTATGTGTTTACGCGCGAGACCGAAGATCCTTGGTAAAAGTCTCGCGTGCAAAGTTGTGGATGCATCTTGCTGAATAGTCCCGTTCTAGGACGAAACGGCCATCCAGTGCTTCTGCGTTTTCAATGGTGATTTAGCTTAGATGAACTCGTGATTTCAACTGTGAAAATACCACAATCTTCACAGATCCCCACACTGAAAACAAGTATTAAGATTACTAAAAATTCCCTTACTCTGAATTAGGAAGACATATGTAGGCAAATAATATTGTTTTAAAATAGATCCTCATCGGATTTTACTCTAATGTTCAAGAATATTTATAGGTATATATTAAATTATTTAACCAATCAAGTCAGTTTATGAGCCAGTGGTGACAGTGAAATAGGTTACATAAGAAAAAAATAAATAAAAAGAACAAATTGATAGTGTTATAACGGGTGTACTAGTTTTGATTAAAATAATAAAAGCCTAAATTAGTGTTTCATAGTGTGATATTGGCCAACGACTCGGGAAAAATTACACAATAAGAAGTGATCAAATAATCAGATTGTTAGCATGTATTTAATATGAAGGGGGGAAGAAAAATAAGCGAACAAAGAGTATGGGAAATAACAATAACATTTAAAATCGTTTGTTAAGGCTAATTTGGCGAAGGAAGAATACGACTGTTGGTTCGAGGATTTATAGATCCCAGCATATGTAAGAGACGAGATATGATTAAGAAAAAATTGTTTTTCTTAATACTATTGAAAAGTCTCAATTCATTATAAACGTGTTACCATTTCAAATCATAACATGAGTAGACTCTTGAAATATACCTGCCCTGGATTTTATGATTAAATATAGGTTCGTTCTTCCTTACCGTATGAATGTTCGAGAAATATAATCCAAAACAAAATGAACTGATTAATTTAGTTATCCATACGAATATCATCAGTACTTCAATACATGAACTCTATAGAGTCCACCAACATTAATATTTTTTTTATCATAAATTGATATCAAGATTTAGAAATTGTGATTTGATTAATAATGAGGAATATACCTGAACAAGTGTCAATTTTGTTTGCAAAATCCATAGCATTAGTCTGGATAGCGAAAGTGAATAATGATAGCCTTTCCAATAAAAACGTATATTGAGAAGTTTTCATTGTCTAATCGTGAGCTATAAGTTTAGAATTCTTGATTCAGACACAACCATGAATGTAACCTTTGTGTATAGAAAGATAATACGATTAAGGTCTGTCTCCTTACCTTTGTATTTCAATTGAAAATGAATTTGTGTCGAATGTCATAAATAGGATCATATAATGCGCAATTTAATTCTGTATGTAGCATAAAAAATAATGAACTATTATCGATTTTATTTGGCTATTGCCTTTTAAATTCGTAAAATATACTTGATTTAATCAATTAGAGTGGAAGTTGAACCATGAATACTTTATTGGTCAAGTTGTTCATACTGTTATCAGTGAAACAATCTCTTTCTCTCTTAACCCATCTAGTCTTATTTAAATTTTCTCGTTATCTTTTCATGGTGATATGTTTAAAAATACTTCTTTAACATGGATATTGTTTCGTCATATATATTGAGGTTAATGTTATTGACTTTTAATTTCCTTATATCGACTTACAGATTATTCTCTCGTGAACCTCATACATGCTTTAAAAAATTGAGTTTTTATTGAGTTTCCATTACTGATTCATTCATCAGTGTTTGAACTGAAACTTATCAATTGCTTAAAGTAAATGATGAATATAAACGGTTATTTTGATTCTATCCATGTGATAATTATTTATTTTAGGTAATTTGTTTGAAAAGAAATTATCGTGTGATATGTTCGGTTTGAATAGAAGTTTCAATAATAACAGATAGGCTTGAATATGTTGACTACCTGTTCCTGTCATCTATATATTTCAAAAAGTTATCTGTTTTCTTGTTTGTCATAAAACATCATAATGTCTATTAATCACATATCCTATTCAGGTGCGTTTATGAAAAGTTTATGGCATTTCACTGTACAAGTTACAAAAAGTATGATCAGTGATAACGTGGTGGCTGACAATATGCCTTGAAAAGGATGAACATTACTCAGATATCGATTCCTGAACTGCTAACATCTAACTGGCGATCACTCAATATTTATCGTCAGGATCGATCAGGAAATAAGGGACGGAAACTTGTGGAAATAATATGTATTAAGAATTCTATATTGTTCCAAAAATATAATATTGAGTAAAGCTAATAATAATAATGACAGTACGAAAAATTTGGAAGTTAAAATACATTGAGTAGTATTGTTCATTACATAACGAATTAACAATGTAAGATTTTCGATCTCTAAACAGATTGCATTTCTGTGTACTAAAGCTTTTATGTTCATCACTTATGATTAGATTTAATGAAGTGATCATCAAAATAACTGATAGTAAGTGCTAATGATTTGCAGTTGTTGTTTTGTTGATATAAATTAATCAACAATGAACCTTAGGTCATTAAAGCATTAATGTATATTTGTCAGACTGTTGGTAGAGATAAAGTAAAATATTTATAAATAGTTTCCTAATTTAGAAATTAAGATGAACCGTTTAATTCTTTTAGAATTTGTATTCAGTCTCACATATTTAAAAAAATTCACTTAGGTCGACGTAGTCACGTGCTCAAGTTTAGCGGCATTTATATACATATATATAATCCTCTAGATGGTATCTGCCTTAAAAATGCATAGAATATACTTTTGAACGCGTACAAAATGAGTTTAAACTTCACCCCATCGCACAAGCCGATGGCTATCAGGACCCAGTAGCTAAGTAGATAATGCCATGATGTTGGAGTGAACGGTACTGGGTTCGAGTCCCGGAGTGAACATCAACTCTGGGATTCGGGTACATCCAGATGACGAGTTCTAAATAGGATGAAATGCTCGTCCTGGAATCCACTACTATCCACCTTCCATCGCTACTTATAATGATTGTGACTTAAAGTAATATCGAGGCAATCCACACAGGATGCATATATGTCCATAAGAGATTGATCAATTACAGTCCTAAACATCAATGAGAAGATTCAAACAAGTCATACAAAATGAATTTGAAGAGGTAATCAACTTACAGCATGGCTTTATAGAATGAAAAATGGTTCTAGTAAACTTATCATGGTTATTAAAATAATCCAATCTTAAAGATAATACAACGTAGTTTTATTAAACTATTCAAAATTGAAGCATGTGGTGATATTTGGATTCCATTCTTTCTAGTTATTATCATATAACTGTTAATAAAATCTTTCTATGTTTACGAGATTATCAGAACTTTACCTTCTTCCGCATACTATATTTGTTGTATTATCATTACCTCTGTTTATTAGTTATATGGTTTTACACCTTCGTATTATTATTATTCTTACTAATATTAATAGTTTGCTTTTTGTTGAATATTTCACACTGAATTGCGATACAATTCGGTTTTTTTCTGTATTATAAGTAAATACAAATGAATATATTTCAAATATTAGATAACTTGTTGTAATTTGGTATATTGAATTCTAAATACTAATTTTTAAAGGACATATAACATTGTATATTTTACCTTTCTTTGACATTTTTCTTCATATATATATATATATATATATATATATATATATATCAGATGGGTTTTTGTGGAGATTGCAGTAATTCCAATGGTTAAGATCATGAGTCAGTTGAAACTAGACCACCATGGAAAACCTGGAAGCACTGGACGGCCGTTTCGTCCCATTGTGGGACTCCTCAGCAGTGCACATCCACTGAAGACAATGGTGAATGTGTCGCTCAATTTCATGGATTAGTTGAAGTTAGACATTAACACCGTTGGATGCTGGCTCAGTGGTCTAGTGGTTAAGTGCTCGCGCGCGAAACCAGTAGGTCCTGGGTTCGAATCTCGCAGGGGGCGAGGTCGTGGATGCGCACTACTGAGGAGTCCCACAATAGGATGAAACGGCCGTCCAGTGCTTTCAGGTCTTCCATAGTGGTCTAGCTTCAACTGACTCATGATCTTAACTATTGATATATATATATATATATATATATATATATATATGTTTACTAAAAATCTCATTAAGTCAGAAATTTCAGCATTGTTACATAACATAGAATTTTGTTTGAAATAATATGGAATTTGTTTACTTGACTCAGTGTAATATATAAAATTTTGGTTCTATTTCTGAAAACAACATTTACGCATATCTACAAATATCTAGATACATATACGACAGTTAGTTAAGTAGACATTTGGTTTAACACCCACATACGATAATTTACATTATCAGGTTGATTGGCCTATCGAACTACTTTCTTGATTATTCATTCACATCAATGAATTCTGAATGTTAACTCAAAATAATCTACAATAAATGTATGATGAGAAATTAGATAAGTTAAAAGAGAGCGAGAGAGTATGAAGATGGAAGAATATGCGAGAGAGACAGTTTTAATCCATTTCATGAAGTGCTAAACTTAAACACACCTATAAAAGGTATGTTAGTCTTAATCAATATCATAACAACCATTTTCTATAGGGGCCACGTATTTGGCCGACCAGTAAATTGATTAGATTGAGCAACCTATTTTATGAACCTGACTACCATATTTTTGTATGCAAAATACCTTTTAGGATGCATATAGCGATGTACTTAAATGTACATATACAAGTGTGTTATACTTGATCATAAGCCCACACATATATGTGCATGGTAAAAAAAAATATAGAATGTGAGCACGCATATTATTATTACACTAACTAGACTAGAGGAAAACTTACTTGCCTATTCGTTAGACTGAATAAAATAACAACAGTTTTGCTTATTGGTTCAAATATAAAAAGGTATTCAGTGACACAATATTTTTTATCTATTTATATCAATCATTTAGTTGATTCACTACTGAATTTCATCCAAGAAAATGGGTTTAACATTTACAATCCCAAAATTCATTCTATTTTGCTTAAATTTTCTACTTGTGGTAAGTGTATTTATTCAAAAGTGATTTGTTCTTGGTTACAATTAACAAAACTAATATTAGTTTCTGTATAATTCAAACTATGATTTATTTAATAATGATATTTTAATGCATTTCCGTTTTTTTTTGTTTTTGATCAAACGAGAAAACTGACAATATTGATCAGTTCTATCATTCAATTCTATTGTAATTGTTCATTTATCAAGTGAATATTATATTGGTGGTAACACAAACATTTCATTTGATTATTAATTTATAAAATCAATAACTGACTTCAGTAATGTTACATCGTTAATTAAGTCTTATTACTTTATTGGATCTATTCAGCATTTCCTATGTTGTAATTATCGATATAAAGTTAATCGATAAACTAAGCTGGAATAATGAGTTGTACTTACTTACTTACTTACTTACTAATTAGCGTTTTTAGCAAGGTTGTTTTCTACGGGATGTAATTACTGACCCCATGCTCGACCCTCCTCTTATCTTTAGGCTTGGGATCAGCAGTAACCCTAAAAGAGCTACAGGCGGAGTTAAGACTTGTACACTGACATGATATTTTATCATTAAAAAAAGATGATTATATGCTTAAATATAAATTTCTACTTGGACTAAATATAAACTTCAGTGTTATGGTATGAACAAAAACATAAGAAATAAATCCTTTAAATTCAGATTAAATAATATTTTCATAATAATCACAGTAATTCAGTTCATTCATTAGTGAATGGTAGTTTGAAACGTTTAGAAAAAAGAATAAACAATCATTCATGAAATACTTTATTCATGTAAATTTTTAACTTAATACAACAGCTCACATTATAAATGAATAAATATCATTCATTTTGATGGAGTTTTGTTCTTTGAGCTGGATGGTTTGGTCATGGAGCTTTCATAGTTCTTCTGAACGACATCATCAGCACAAACTCCAGCTCAAAGAACAAAACTCTATCAAAATCATCCACCTGAGCTACAAATCTTTTCCATTATCTTAAATATCATTCACATTATTTAACTAATTTAGTTAGATAATTTTAGGATATAATAATAATGGTAAATATTAAACACATCAACATATTGTTATCAATTAGTGGGTTAGATTTTTATGCAATCTGATGAGAATGACCATTTTTGTTACCAGAGCTCTAATCTTACAACAACAATTATGATTCTACTTATGTGATATGGTAATTTTTTCATCTCATACGTTTTCGAATGGTGACTTCATAAGTGAACCTCTTCACTGATATAATCATATTGTTATGTGGAAAAGTGATATTTGGTTTAACTAACTAATATAAATTAGAACAAACTGGATATAAATACACAGTTCTTTGTAATATTTTCATATCTAATGACTGTAACATTAAAAATGAATCATTTGATGATAATGAAGGATTTAGCTATGCCAAACTAATGGTGATATTTTTATTTAAAAGATATGAATAAGTAATATATTATATTATTATTTCTGTGATGATTGGCTTAACAGAGTCTTTGTTCACATTACCAAGAAGAAAATTATCCCTTTGCAAATAACATTTATGAATATTAACTCTTGTGTATTGTTTGCTGTTAATCACTATCTTGATTCAACTTCTAAATGGTATTAAATTCTCAGATGGTAATGGAGCCAAATAATATTTAGTACACTTTTCATCTAATGGCATAAATGATAATAAAACAAAATTAACTGCATTCCATACTTCTTAATCAAAATATCTGACTAAATGTTAATATTTCATTTGAAAGAATGTGAATATTTTAAAAGCTCTAGCTTACTTACTTGCTTACTTATAATTGTTACTCCTTTTGGAGGAGAATAGGCCGACTACCAGCACTCTCCATCCAATCCTATCCCGGGCAATCCTTTCCAGTTCTTTCCAGTTATTGTTCATCCTTTTCATATCTTCTTGTAGTTACTGATGTAATGTGTTCTTTGGACTCAATAGATAAGTGGATAACGCAATGACGTTTGAAACGAACGGTACTAGATTTTAGTCCAAGAATGAACATCAACTCTAAGATGTAGGTGTATCCAGCTGACAAGTCAGAAATAGAACTAAACGTCTGTCCTCGATTCCACTTCTAATCAATATCTATCATAAAAATTCTAGGTAAATATCTAAAAGATACACTGACTATTTCAGTATTAATATAAATATGTCATAAACCTATTCTTACTTGATATTGATATTAGATTGAACTGAAAACAATATCTCTTAAATAATTTTTTTTTTCAAATCGTTTACATGAATTCAATCACTTTTTTATTACTAGTCATAGTGAATTAATGAGATATTATTGATAAGATAATAAATTCAATGAAACATTTCTGATTGAAACACTTTAACCCGCATATCAAACTATTCATTAGATTAGAATTTATAAATGTACACAGGATTATATCAGTAATTGTTTGTAATTACTTTTTAACTAACTTTTTGATTAACATCTTTATTATTTAATTAAATAAGTAACTAATAAAAAAAGGTTTTGTAGTTTATAGTTAAGCACATAAAAGTGAAATGTTTGTCAGCGTCATATATTGATGATTTATCTTGTCATTCAATTAATTTACAAATGAAGACTAATATGTAAAGATGAAATTATGGTATAATAATGAAGTAGATTAGTAAGAATAGTCTTAAATAAATGATATTTCAATAGTTGAAATCATGAGTCAATTGAAGTTAGACCACCATGGAAAACCTGGAAGCATTGGACGGCCGTTTCGTCCTAATATGGGACTCCTCAGTAGTGCGCATCCACGATATCCATGATATTTTTGACTAATTAACATATCAGTAATGTGTATGTATATTCACTGTTAGAACTGAAGATAATCTTCACAGTTGAAAATAACAAATTTCTAGAGTTCTCAAATAGATTTGATACGATGAGTGAATAAATATTTATCATCCCTTTGGTTAGAAGTGATATTTTAATTCATAATAGTTTGAAACAATAATTAACTTCATATAATTTAGTTATTAAAACATTTGAACCTGTGAACAATTTATGGAGTAACACAAGCTAAAGAAATCCAGATAACTATGATTTTATAAATCAGGTTATTATAAGTTTTTTTTTAGTTGGAATGAACGTATATCAAATGGGACTGACGATGTTAATCAATGTTTCTTTATCCCACAAAAATAACTCAGACATCTAATTAATGAAATTTCATAAGAAACATAACTCATACTTAATTAATTGCCTACGCCTGTAACTCCTCGTGTAGGAGTATTGGTCACCCACCAGCACTCTTTATCCAACGCTGTCTTGGGCAATCATTTCCAACTCATACACAACTGTGTCAAAAGATGCCAAAAATGCTTATTAAAAAAATTAATTGAACAAAGTAGAACTATATTGCAATAGATTCACTTAGACCAAAATCAGTTATGGATAATCTTGTGATAAAAACAATAGGAAGTAATGATAAACATGGAGAGGAAATTCCCAGAATTTTAGTAAGAAGCAGTGATTAGTGTAGTTCATCGATGTCTAGTCGTCAAACACGTGTAACCGATGACAGTGGATGATTGTCACAAAATACCACAAATTAATAGAAGTTTGAATGATAGATTAATGGACACTAAACTCAGTGATCTGAAGATTATGGCCATGCAGGTCATGGATTCCATCCTATGCAAGTTTGTGAGTGCATATTACTGACTGGTGCTTTCTAGTTTTCAATACTTGTTTAGCTTAAGTTAGTTCATGATACAAAATGCGAATTGGACAATATCTAAAATCCTTGGATCCTAATTATACGATGAATTTTACGGGTATAAAGTGACTAGAAGGGGCATACAAACAGAAACACTTAAGTTTCGTCTAAAAATTAAACGAATTTATTGAGAAGCGTGGGTAATAATATTAATGAATAGCACAATGGTAGGAGAAAAAAATGAATGAGTTTGTTGTATAAATAGCTTAGAATTCTCTATGTATATTGATGACTTCAACAATCTAAAGTTTGAAAAGACACTTTTGTTTCTAGCACGTTTGCTTTTTACTCTAGAAATAACTCCAAATTATGAATCCATTGAAACAGATTGATTACAAAAGTACTTATTCAAAGCAACTATGTCACATCTATAAAGTTTTTCATCTTGTCCAAACTGTTGCCTCATAATACGTCTTATTACATTACTGAAACGAGATAATACAATGTTACGTAGATACGAGGTTGGATCTGAACATTTCTTAATTCGGTTTCTGACTAAAGTGTAAGTACTATATGCTGGTCAGAGGTGAACTAGAATAAAGCAATTCCTAGTACTGATCAATTTTTTGTTATTGTCCATCTAATGAATAATTGTGAGAAAAGAATATATGCAAATATAGGTATCATTGACAAAAACATGTGCTTTTCTCACTATTTCAAAATACAGAACTTACTAACGTGGTCATAGTTTTGTTTGAACAGAACGTTTTTAGCACGAATTGATTTGCATAATAATATAATATACTTCAATTTTATTGGTTGATGGAATCAAACCCTTATATTCAAACTCAGATTATGTCCTAATATGGTAACCTTATTGTAAACATATAATCAAACAGTTTGTCAATAAAGCATCATATCAATATGTATTTTAGAAATGGTAAAACCAATACTTTGCAAGTAATCAAAATTATTCTAAATAGCTTTAAAATATGCTAGTTAACATTTCACAATCAGAAAGTTAACTGTAAACTATGTCTTTATTTCGCAAAAACATGAAGTTACTACTCTAAAAACAAGAATGAAAAAAGTAGTATCTTAATTACTAATCGTATTAAATTTCGATACTAATCGATCTGTTCAATGTGTTTGGTATTATTAATTGTAAGAGTCAATTTTATAATACTGTTTTCATTTATAAATCAATGATAAAACGAAGAGTGAGATGAGATCACTAAATTAACCAGAAGTACATTATGCATTAAAGGAAATAGATTTCAAACAATGTGAACATACATTAATATGTAATAATGATTATGAATATAAGCAATATCGAGTTAGTCTTTCAGCGAACTCATAATCTAACAAAGGCTTCACTTTCAGTTTCAAATATCATCCATCATAGAATAGTTTGTCGGTGATTTTCTCTCATACACCAACATTGGAAAGTTATTTCGCATAAGTTTCAGATTTCATGTCAGTGCATGCCTTCAACTCATTTGGAGTTATTGGATTTAAAAGTTTTGGGTCTTATTAGCAAATACAAAATCACTCGGCGCTTTTAAATTCAGTTGATTCCTGATAAGGTGTAATTTTCAACCGGTATTATAATGACGACTTACAATCTCGTTTCCAAGATAGTTAACTGCATCGATTAAAGCGTCTCATCAAAAATTTCAGAAGTTAATCCATAAAAATAGTTACTAATGTCCATGAGATTATTATTTGGTAAATTGTATTATGGAAAGATTCGTATTATTTAAAGATGATTCAATGTAAAAATGAACAAAAAACAAAGTTGTAAAATTCACGAAAAGTAATTTCGAACTTATGTTTTGTAGGTTCCTTAGCCTAAATCCATAGAACTATTAAATAAACCTGATGCTTCGTGGCTTATTGTAAGCCACCTATTCAGAGTAAATTCACTTACTCTAAAGAAGTGGGTTATATTAAGTTATGAAACGTCAGAAATACAATTCTTCTACTCATTGGGATATAACAACAAAAATATATTTATTATTATCTCTCTACTCAATGCTCGATTTATATGAAACTACCGAGTCCAACCTTAGTATTGATATCTAATGAATAAATTTGTTTTAATAAAAATTTAACTGTTATACTAACAGTATTTTCTGTTAATTAATTTAATTTAGATCATTGGGTTGGCATTAATTGCTGTCGGTTCATGGGTTACAGCAAATGATCAAAGTTTTGTTGATACAGTTCAATATTTTTCGTCATACAATGCAATTGAATTACAATTATACCAAGGAACAAGTTTAATACGTTATTTCAGTTATGCTGTGATTATAATTGGCTCATTATTAGTAGTCATTAATTTTGTCGGTTGTTGGGGTGTAGTAATCGAAAATCGAGGATTACTTATGGCAGTAAGTTTATGGATTATTATCATTATTGTTATTACATAAAACTTCAATAATGTCTTCTTAAAATTGTTATGGTTTACTTTGACATAGAAAAGAGGGTGGAAAGTAGTGAAAACAAGCCATAAAAAAAACGTGTAGTAGATTTAATTATCTTAAGTAAAACTCTTGATTTACAAACTAAATTCCTTTGTCTGTTTACTAATAGACGTATAGGTTAAAAATAATTTGTTCTTTTAGAAATATATCAAGCAGTTACTGTGCAGCCAGATAAATAATTATGGTTTCAGTGTGGTTAAAACTTCAAAAATATCATCTACACTTCATGATTCTAATCTCAGTTGATTGCTAATTCAATTACTTAAATTATTAGTGAATAATGATCTACAGAATTAAAATAATTGATTCGTATGTGGTTCGATCAGTTACTATTTGTTATAATGAGTTAAAAGAGGGGTAATCTACCACGATAACTTGATTGCTCAACATAGCACTATGTGTTACTCACTGTCTATTTTTAGATTTCGTTTAGTTATCTTACGATAGACTACTGCAATGAAAGAATTTCAGGATTATTCGATCGAATGTTTCAATAATCCACACTTGATTAATTAGATATTTTTACGGTAGAAACCACTAGTCGATCTAAGCGAGACCACCATTGAAAACCTAGGAGCACTAAATGGCCTCTCAGAAGCGGGCATTCACGATCCCGCACGCTAGACTTGAACCCAGGACCTCTGGTTTCGCGCGAATGCCTAACCTCTAGACCACTGAGCCGTCATCCAACATAATTTACGACATCCTTGACCTTAAGGCGGAGTTCGACTTCGTTGACCGTGAGGCTTTGTGGTAGTATCTGTTATTGAAAGACGTACCGAAGAAAGAGATTAATCTTGTACAAGCTGTCTATTTAAATACTACTGGCCGAGTCAGAGCTTATGGAGAAATTTCATCGGAATCAGTTACCTCAAGAGATATTTATCACGGTTGTCCGCTTTCCACACTTTTATCTAACTTTGTCATAGACACGATTTTAGAGATAACACTTTCATTGTCTGACTTTTCAAGGATTGATCTTTGCAAGAGATTCGGTTGCTGACTTAGAATACGCAAATGAAATAGTTCTGTTCATTGAAGACGCTTGCAAAATGCAGTGTTTCCTGACTACATTAAGCAATAATGCAAACGTGTTTCGGGTGCGGTTCTTTCCCTCCAAATATGAAATGTTACTTCAGAATTGGCTTGCGTTGGCGCCCAAACTAATGACAGGGAGTGAATTGTTTGGACGCATCAAACGCTTCACTTATCTTGAGAGTTTCATTGGTACTGGTAGTCTGACAAAACCTCGGCACAGATTGATAAGGTTTGATTGGCTTTCGCCAACTTGCGTCACTTATGGCGTATGTGACATATCCATCTTCCAACTAAAGGGCAAATTCACTGCTCATCAGTTCGTCTCGTCCGATTTTATGAGTGTGAAACATGGCCATTAAGAATAAAGAATATGTGTAGGTTACCAATCTTCGACCTTAGATGTCTTCGAAGCATTGCACATATACTTTTGGACCACGGAGTAAGCAGTGCCTAAGTTAGTATAAGGGTGTTAGTTAATGATAGGAAATTGATTGGTGAGGTAGTAAGTCTTCATCAACTGACATAGTTGGGACATGTGTTAAGTATACTCATCCACTGCCTAGTTTAAGAGGTGATGTTTTCTTTTGAAGGAATAGGTTAGAGGAGATCTAGGTGCGGCCAGACCAAGGCATGGCTCTAGTCCATGAAGTCACTGAAAATTGGGCTGAGCCGTGTTAACAGGTGTGGACTACTCGGTTGGGGTCCGCTTGATTATTGTAACCAATGGCCAGAGACTTTGAATGAAGTAGCTCAAAATCGTTTGCAATGGTGCAGATGCATCTATTCTTTATATTCTAAATTCTGCGCCCTTGAATTCCTCATTACGTTTTTTGTTTCCAATAATTTGTATTACCTTTATTCTTATCTTTGATGCCTAATCTTTTAATCACTACTAATAATGTTACTATCTCGACGATTCCGGGATTTGACCTGACCATTTCGTTTCTATGCACCAATGAAGTGTGTTGACTTGAACGTATGTACATACATATCAGGCTCTAGGTTGTGGCTAACTGAATGACTTATACATAATTTCGTTGGGAAGCATTTCTGCATAAAATCAAACCAAAGAATATCATATAAGAAAAATGTCCCATTCTTCTTAAAATTCTCATTGGCTGTATGAACGTGAAAAATCTGAGATTAAAACCATTTATTTACATATCAACAACTAATCATTATTAAGTACAATTGTGTTCATCTTTTTAATTGATCAATAGGATAGACGAACCTTTTTGATATGGATCATACCAATCGCGAGTGTAAAGTATGAGATATAAGCTTTTAACAACAGAATAGAATGAATACTACAATTAGTCCATTTTTTTTACATAGGATAATTGACTTGATTAATAATTAAGTTTCTAATTAATAATGTCAAATCTACAATGGATTGTTATTACATCATGATATGTAGTAGTTACTATGGGAATTATTGAAAATCAAAGAGTCGTTTCAGCTAACTATATACATATATACATAACCATAGATTTTTCTTGACTTTCACTTGGATACATTTTAAGCATTCAAATTTTAGTAGCGATCGAATCCCCATAATCACTACTATTAGATGACAGGAATAATTAAATAATTTTTCAGCTGATATTTGTTATTCTATAATGAAAAGAATATAATGGTATATCCATTACATTTTAAGCTACTTAATTGGTTTTATTGATAATAAAGTGAAACAACCTGGTTAGACTAATAAATCTCATAAAATGTTCTCTCTTTTAAATAAAGTACTAAGTGATTTGTCTAAAACCAGAAAGCTGTTAGATAACATTATCTTATACGTTGTTTAACACACTTAAAATCTATATTCTTTCATCAACTTATCCTACTCTATTTTATATTTTACCATTCCATGGTAACGTATCTGTTGGATATATTTTCCCTTTTATTTATTATTTTAGTTCGCTGGTTTGATGATTACCCTAGTTCTACTTGAATGTGGAGCTACTGCAGCGATGGGTGGCACACAAAGTTTGGTAAATTTAATTGTTCATTTATTATATATATATATATATATATATATATATATATATATATATATATATATATATCATTATTCAATGTATGGATAATCATGAACGACCTCTATAAGTCGTGTTCTAATTGGTGACTTTGTCACGTAGCAATCAACAGGGCAAAAGTCATAACAATCATAATAAATTATTTTTACTAACAGTAATATTATTAATTGCAACTACTACTATGACAGTAATTTAAAAATATTGAGATAAAGACTTGATCAGGTTAACAAAAAATCATTTTACTCAATGATAAAAATAATTTCAAGTTGTATGGACATGATTGTAATACTCTTATACTTGACCTCCATATTACTTACTGACTTAAGCCCGTTATCCCTCGTGGAGTAGAATAGACCGCCTAACAGTTATTTCCAGTTGCTATTCATCTTTTTCATGTCTGCTTTCGATTCCCGATGCAGTTTGCTCTTTAAACTTCCACTTGTCCGTTTCCCTTCAGCAAGTTAGAGTTTGCCTCGTGATGCAGTTTGATGGTTTCCTCAATGTGTGTCCTATCCACTTCCAATGTCTTTTCCTAATTTCCTCCTCAGTTGGAAGCTGGTTTGTTTTCTTCCATAGTAGGTTGTTGATGATGGTATCCGGTCAACAGATATTCAGTATCTTACGTAGACAATTGTTTATAAATACTTGTACATATTTGATGATGGTTGTAGTAGTTCTCCACATTTCAGCTCTGTACAGTAGAACTAGCTGTCTTAATGTTCGTATTGAAGATTGTGACTATGAAATTGTTTGACAGTTGTTTTGAGTTCCATATGTTGTTCAACTGTAGGAATACTGTCCTTGTTTTGTCACTCTATGCCTTCAATTCAATGCTGCTGTCAAGATGCGTGAAACATTCCATCTCTTCCATAGTTTCTCCATCAGGTGTGATTGAATTAATGTTTTCCGTGTTGTATTTAAGGATTATGCTCTTCCCTTGTGTATGTTGAAGCCTGCAGATGACGAGGCAGCTGTTACACTTGTTGTCTTTATTTGCATTTGTTGGTGTGTATGGGATAGAAGAGCTAGGTCATGTTTGAAGTCAAAATCATCTAGTTTCATTCAATCTGTCAACTGTATTCTGTGATTCCGCTGATCCATGAATGGTCTCCATAATCCTGTCGTTCATTTTGCCAAAGCTTAGTGGAAATAGTCAGGATTGTCAGTCTTATTTTTAGCTAAGAATTGAGTTATATCCCTGGATTCAGCAGTATGATACTATTGTTCTCTTTATAGAAACTAATCAAACGCCTGATGTTTTACTTATCAAATAATAGTTTTAATTTATTGGTTTGAAATAATAAGTCTTGCGGCTGAAACTTGCTACATATAATCAATGTAGCACAAGGAAACATTAATAAGCAAATAATTCACGTAAGACAGTGATCGCAAAGATACTAGTCAGAGAATATTTTTAAAACACTAACCTATTATATATATAAATTTTGTATTAGACTATGAATGGTAGTAGGATTCAGGAAGCTCATCTTTTCCAACATAGAAAGCATCTACCTTCGAGTGTTGATGTTTTTTTAGAGATCTGAACTCTGTATTTATCATTCCAAGTGAATAAGCTTAGTTAACCAGGCTACTAAGTTAAGATATTCTTTTATTTGTTCAACTGGTAGGAAGTAATATGTAAGAATTGGAACTTTTCCAATGTTGATGTGAAGGACTTCAATCGATCAGTCTCCATCGAAATATGTGTAGTAATCATTTTAGCAAGGTGAAACGTTGAAATGTTTATACTTACAGTGATTTTCAGCTTCAAATTAGATTGTTCATGTGTGAACATTATCACATTCAATGAGTCAGTACAAATGTAACATGAGAAAAGATGAAGTGTAATTTCACTGAAAACAAGAAAAAGGCAGGTTCGGTTTTCTTATACAGGAAACCATTCATTCTGATGGAGTTTTGTTCTCTGAGCTGAATGGTTTGGTCCAGCTCAGAAAACAAAACTCCATCAAAATCATCCACCTGGGCTACAAATCTTCTCCACCATCTCAAAACCATTCATTCTTTTAAGATGTCAATGGGTAAATTACCAGAAATATTTTCCTTCAAATAAAACGTTCACGTTATATTATGAAACGATATGAGTTCTTTGACATATTCAATAGTCTGATAATTCTGAATAACATTGGTCATTTTAAAAAACACTATTTCTCTGTCCTTTTCCTCTTCATTTGCAAATTTAATTATCAGTATAGGGTTGTGGAGATTATTAAGTTATTAATTGAGATCTTGAACCAGTTGATGTTAGACCACCATTGAAAACTTGGAAGCACTGGACGGCCTTTTCTTCCTATTGTGGGACTCCTCAGCAGCGGGATTCGAACCCGAGGCCTTCAGTTGCACGTGCGAACACTTAACCTACTTGACCACTGAACCAGAATCTAACGGTGTTAATTTCTAACCTCAACCAATCCACAAAACTGCACGACCATCGTCCATTATACTGAGGTAGATACCTGTCCCTACCCGACACGGAATAACTCCGCTGGTCACGGCTTCTCACTAGAACTCCGAGAATTCCCTCACGAAGTTAGTCACTAATGAGCACATTGTAATGTTGGAATATATTTTCATAAATCGTTCAAGATAGTCAAACTCATTTAGACCAGTTCTTGTACTCTTTATTATTTGTTCATGTTAAGGCAATCAAAGAATTGCTCAATTCTTGTTGATAATGTTAAAGTCTTACTAAGAACGGTAACTATAAATGTATTTTCACAAATGCGATTTTTCAAATGTCCTTTTACATGTTATGACTGTTAGTGATTACTTTTAGTTTATTGATTTTCTACATGTTTGAAGGTTATGATTTCGTTGCTATAAATAATGATTTCTATCATTTCAAGTTATTCTAATTAAATAACAAGTTTCCTTCGCCATTCATCTTCTTTTTGTGTTAGAGGGTAATTGTTGAAATGTTATATGGTTACTTTCATTATCGAATCCGTAGTATAAACATTGTGTATATGAATAGCTCAAACGTCCTTTAACTTGTAAGTATTGTAGACAAACTAGACATTCAAATAAACAAAATAATTGTACCAATAAATGATCAATCTTATTAAGATTTAACGATTTGTTCATTCAGTCTATTTGAAATGTCTATAACCAATTACTTTTATAAGACTATTGTTTAATTGGGTAAATACATTTAATTTTTTTTTGTTAATCTAGTGGAAGGAAGATTATGAGAAATCGATTACAAGTCGATTTGTATCTAAATACCGTGGAACATTTGGAGCTTTTGCAATTTCTGAATTTGAAGAATATTCATTAAAAATGGATCAATTGATGATTGAAGTGAGTAACATATGAAAATTTGAAAACAAAATTTTTAATTTTAAACTTTAACTTGGTAATGAATAGAAGTTGTTTGTTGTAATTCGTGAAAGAAAAAAATTATCATGTAAGTATTGGTAATCGAAGTGAATTAAATACGTTCTTTCATTAAGGTTTGGATTTTCATATCAGTGTGAAAACGCTTATGTTATATTGAGTTTTTTGTCGTCATTTAGGTTGGACGATGTTTGTTGACGGGCTCTCCACTTTAGTGGCTCGAGATCTGACTCCAAGTAGATCGTATGAATGTTTGTTATCGCCTATCCTGGTATATAATCATCGACTTAAATCGCGTTAGTCAATAACGGAATTAAATAAGTCAAATAACGAGAATGAACTTTTGAATACATATATTTTGTATATGAAGCGAATGGTATAGAGAGAAGAGAAACGACGTGCAGTGGAGATGGCGGGTAAGCCAACTCCTCTTTAGCCAAAGGTTAATCAATATTTATAGTTACACAAAAATAAGTTACAGGCATGTGATGAATGGGATAAGAAGTGTACAAACATACGCTCATGTAAAAACAGTGAAGATTGATGAGCGAATAATTAACAAGGTCAAAATATGACTCAAGCAGAATGAATAGATTAAACTTTTCGAAAGCTAGAATAAGGTATATGGGCTTGACATAATAACCGGCGTCACAAGTTAAAGCAACGATGTTTACGTTGCATAATAAGTCAAAAAGTAATTAATTATATTCGTTCGTTGTTGTCTGTCATAAAAATAAGTCTTCAGGATTGACTGTTTTCTGTTAGGTATCATCAAAGATATGTCTAGAGTGGTTTCTTGCAATCTCTTACTAATTAGTGATTTATTTCTAAATCTCTTCACATTTGATAAATTAAATTTATCTGCACAATGATCTTAAAATGTATGTTATACCGTTATATATATCTTCATGTAATATTGTATAATTTTTAATTATTTAGCTTGAATGTTGTGGATTACAAGGTTCTCAAGACTTTTCAAACACAAAATCGCGTTGGTATCAGGAAGGTCGAAAATATTCAGATGGTACTACTGGTGATGCGATTAAAATTCCTCCAGCATGCTGTAAATATACTTCAAAAGATTTTTGGAGAAAAGGTATGCTATTTACTCTTTTTCAGGCAAATAGTTTATCTTTTAAACAATACACTTTAATTAGTATGGGGATTTGTAGAGATTAGTATTAGTAGTAGTAGTAGTAGTGGGTGCGCATTGCTAAGGAGCCCCATACTAGAACGAAACGGCAGTCCAGGGCTTCTAGGTTTTCAATGGTGGTCCAGCTTAGATAAACTCGTGAATTCAACCTTTAAAATACATTTTACATACGTACAATAATAAGTAATTTTCCTCTATCATCATATCAATTTATCAAGTTACTGATAAACCATTCATACCACTTCATACAAATAAAATCATCAATTCTTTTTTTAACATTTTTTACATTTGAAAGAAGCATGAATGTTGAAATGTTTGTTTTTTTGTTTTTTAGTAGATTTCAATCAAGACAAGAAATGGCTTAAATGAATTTTACTCTTTATTCTTATTTAAGAGCAATATGCCTAAGGAATGATTACTAACCTATCTATATTCAAACCTTTGATTTAATCATTTTAATAATTTATATTAGCCTCTAAAAAAATATTACTCGAATGAACCAAACAGTTTTAAGTGAGATATATACATAATACATTCTTAAGAAAAGATTTGAAGTTCTTTGAGATTATCCTTTTCAAAACTATTTTAAGCAGAAAAATGTATTCGAAAGGGTAGTTCATGGATAGTAACTAAGAATACATTTAACTATGTTAAACTATTTATGTTGTTCCGTTACATATGGATAATAATGTACAGACAACATGTTCGTTAGTCTGTGGTGTGTGCTACTTATGTCGACAGACATAAGTAGTATGTAACATCAACTAAAAGAGGAAGGCATAGTACCAGAAGGTAGTGAAGGTCGACTTGAAGAAGACAGAAATAGAAAGTAATTGTGACTTTGAAGAATCATACAGAATGTGAAGAACAAAATGATGGAATTTTGCAAACGAAGTATTCAATATATGGTTCTCATAGTTTACCAAAAGATTCTGTAATTTTGTGTTGAAAATACAATTCGTTGTCACTATTTGAGTTCTCGTTCATTTCAAGTATATAGGTAATAGAATTGGATTCATCTATGTTGATTTAATAATGATACTCTCATTAAGAAATTTTTTAATATTCCAATAACTATTCAAATATTTAGTCTTAATATTGTAATTCAGTGTAAATGATCTTACAATTTATCTGTGTAAATTTAAGTTCAATCATTCATTTAAGAAAATGGACCTTTTTTAAAAATCTATCTGTTTTATCATAGTCCATGAAGTTGCGCCACCGTGCACCATTGTGTTCAGTGAGTTGATATCTCACAACAGACCTGGTTGAACTCCACTGGTAACAGCTTCTCACTAGAACTCCAGGATTATCTCCTGAAGTCAGTCATAGTAACTGAATTGATAGAACAATTTTCATAAAATAATTCCTATTACAAACTGATTTTAAACAAAAAAAATCATTGAAAAATAGGGTATTACATGTTTAGAACTTGTTCAATTCTCATTTCACATAGTATCATAACTAAAATCTTCTAATTACACAATGAAGATGATACATTCATGCAATTGTGTTAAAATACAACGATCTAAACTTTTATCTGTAATACATTTATATGTTATCTCATCTTTCAAAACATTATAGCTTTCTCCACTAAATATTTCAAAAAATTAAGCTCAGGTTTACCTAATCTTAAGACTTCAATGAATATGAAACTCTGGAGAGACTTTATTTCACATATCATAGTAGATATATTGATCTATATTGTTTTGACTAGCAGAAGATGAAAATAAATAAACACTAATTCGTTACTATTATTATTTTGAAATATATTTGCAGCTGATTATGAAAAATTTCAAGACAACCTTAAAGATAAAGATTGTGTAAAAACAACAAATGAATCAAATATGAACGTTGGTTGTTTAGCTGCAGCAAAAACTAAAACACAGAAAACAGCCCTCCCATTCATAGCTATTCCAATTATACTTTTCCTGTTACAGGTATGGTACAAAAATGTTAATGATTACTGTCGTCTTATTATTATTATTATTATTATCACTATCCATATTATTTTCAGAGTTCATTCGTTTATGCTATTTTATTTCATAATATTTACCTTTATGCTTAAATGGAATTCATCAATCAGAATAATCATATGATATGATATGGTGGACAATGGCGCTTTTTGGTGAACTGGTTGAAGTTAGATATTAACACCGTTGGATACAGGCTTAGTAGTCTAGGGGTTAGATGTTTGCATGCAAGACCGATAAGTCCTAGGTTTGAATCTCGCGGGGTGAGATCGTGAATGCGCACTGTTGAAGAGTCCCACAGTAGGACTAAACGGCCACTTAGTGCTTCCAGGTTTTCCACGGTGGTCTAGCTTCAATCGGCTCATCATTTCAACTATAAAATGAATAGTTAATGTTTGAAAATAATTAACCTTTACATACTACAATGATAAACACTTCACATATTTTCAAAAAGTAAGACTTCATCTTTTTATTCACTGATCATAAGAATCAAATATATATTTGTATTTCATATTTACTATTCATTCATATTTTTTTATTTCAGTTTATTATGAGTTAAAGTTACTTAATTATCTGAAATAATATTACTTAACAGAGTCGATTTGATTATACACAGATGAAAAAAAATATTGAAATATTGAAAACAAATATTTCCTTTTTGTAAGCAATGATGGTCAGTGGCTAGCAGTGGAATCCAGGAAGCGCGTTCCGTCTTATTTGGGAGTCGTCAGCTGGATGTACCTGGATCTCAGAGTTGTAATGATAGATAATGATGGATCATTGCTTACAAAAAAGCTTGTGAATTAAGACAATATCGAGGCATAGGCACAGTATGCACATATGCTAATAACAGACTTATCAATTGCAGTCTTAAACCTCAATGGGAAGATACAAGCTAAACAATATCAAGTGAATTCAAATATTTACTTGATAATTAATCGATTTCTTTTTCTAACTAATGTAAGACATATATTATATCGGGTATTCATTTGAATTAAATCATCAAGTGGTTAAACACTTTTAGTTATATGCCTATATGTTCAAAATTCGTCAATTGAACTACTGATAATGATGAAAGTAAGGTTGGATGAGTAATAGAATAAGAACAAATAACCAGTTATATAATTAAGTTTGTTTTTATTTATTTTCAAGAATCATTATGAATAAATTTACATATAAAATAATATAACTCACAATATTTTTACATATATGTTATTCATTAGCCATCCTATGTGTTAACGTTATTGTTTTTAAATATATATATTTAATAGTTGAGATCATAAGGCAATTGAAGCTAGACCACCATGGAAAACCTGGAAGCATTTGACGGCCGATCTCGTGAGGCGGAATCGTTGGTGTGCACTGTTGAGGAGTCCACAGCAAAATGAAACGGCCGTCCAATGCTCCCGGATTTTCCATGATGATCTAGCTTCAATTGAATCATTATCTTAACTATTAAAATTACAAGAATATCCACAAAACTCCTTTTGATACTAACTGATACATTGATAAACCATGAAATATTTTTTTCTTATTGAACTATTGAATTAACTTTAAAGCTGAAGTTTTAAACGAATATTCGTCAAGATTAGAACGAATAGTTTGACAGAAATTGGGCGCCGAGTAAAGAGAAGTCATTATATGTGAAAATTATATTTGAAATAATCTCAGCGATTGAAATTTAAATAATCCCAACGTTTTGTCCAGCTAACTTGTCTGGACTTATTCAGAAGAAATCGCTGAGATTATTTCAAATATAATTTTCACATAGAATAAAGTTTTAAAGTTATTTTTTTTATTATACAGAATTATAAATAAATAGTTGATTTACAGTAGTTACTATTCAATCCAATTAATTTTAAATTTTTATTGTTATAGATTGCTACTATCGGGATCTCCATTTTTTTAATTTGCCGAATTCAAAAATGGGATAATGAACTCTACTATTAAAGATCATTTTCACTTTTAATAAAATAGATGTATGTAAAACTTGAAAAGTATTATAAATAAAAAAGAAGAACATTTTTAACGATTAAGTATGGTTATTATTATTATTATTATTATATCAGTCTTTAATCTGTTCGTCTCATCGGAATGAAATACAGAAAAACCGGTTAGACGATATATCATATTGAATGTTCGTATTCTTAACATTTAATTTAATCAATCTTTTGTTTAAAATGATATTTGTAAATGTATGTGTGTGCATGTGTGTACTTGTATGGATAGATGTTTATTTGCTTTTCTGTTATAATTAAGTATTTAATCATTTTGGTTTATACAGCCTTCAAACATTTCAATGTTTGATAGGCTAGATTGTTTTATAACGGCATATAAACGTAGGCGCACTTTTTTCTTTTGGTGTTATTACTTTGACCTATATATACTTCATATTCAAATAATTGATTTCTTCAAATTAATGTTATTGAAATAAATGTTGTGCCTCAAGATCATGGAACTCAATATTGTTGTTCTCTTCTTCATTATTGGGGTAACAATAATTTTCTAGAATAAATTAACATAAGCTTGGTTTTAATCTTGTACTAGTAGCTTCTATCACTATGGTCACTAGAAAATGAATCAAAATAATTAATCTCTCATATAGCAAAATTTATTGAATAAAGACCAGTTGGCTTTTTTCTAGGCTATTCTTCAATTCTAATACCAAGTTGTGTATGAGTATAATCCTGATGATTTAAATACAACCGTTTATACAAAACTAAAACTGTTAATCGAATAAATCATCTATTGTGTTACTAATTTGTATTAGCTATTTTCAAATGCCTGAGCAATTGACAACCTGTTTCGTTTTTAATACCTATTCTTACTGAACTTTGGAGTATATATTCGATAAGTCTATACGAATATTCGACAGCCTGTAATTAATGAATTGATAAGTTAATGCTTTAAAAGCTTTAATCAAGAAGCAGTAGATAGTAGCATTGGTGTCTTTTAGAGATTACATGCGGTTCATCGGATCCCAGTGCAATGAATAGATGGTATTGAGATGTTGACGGTCAACCTGATCTTATGTTCATTACCTTGTAAAGTCGCTTATTTATCACTTGAAAATCCCGATTTTAGCTGAATTAACAATCTAATTTTCTCTAATTTCTAAAATTTTCTTCTCAAATTAGAAGAATATGAGATTCTATGTAAATTCGGTATCTGAAGGCAAATACATAGATTAATATGTATATAATCGCGCTACTTGATTGTTAACTTAATTCTTGTGTCGGAATCTTTTTACTTAAATGGTTTTTACAATTAGATAACCACCACTCTAGCCATTTCCATTTCCCTAACAGTATACTGTGGAACAGACAAGTATTACAGCTGAATTTTACAAACTAACTGTCAGTCCCCAAGGCTGTCTAATACGAAGTATGGTATTCAGGAGTGGACCAGTACTCAAATCAGACTGACCACAATAAGAACACACAAAGTCATATCATATTTGTACTCTTAATTAAGCACGTAATAATGTTCAATGCAACTATTGGTTAGCACAAACACCACGTACATACCGAAAAACAATATTACAGTCTGAGAACGACATCTAGACTTTATTCAAATAATTACCATAGAGAATATTTTGCAAGTATAGAGGATATTCAGTTAATCTAAAGTGAGTAGCTAATAACTTCAATAATTTATGTATGGCATTATAACTGTGTTACAATAATTCACCCTACATGGTTGAGCTTAATTCCATTGAGTGAATTGCAATTAACTCATTCGTACTTTAAACTTTCTCCAATTGGTTCACTAGCATGAATCGATTTGTGTTAAGTCACTTTCAAAATACACTGGAATTTTTCTTAATCTTACCTAACAATACAATAGTAATAATAGTTCACTGTCAGTACTAGATTAATCCCATTCTGAATAATAGAACAAGTTGAATGTAAAAATACCGACCAGTAAATTGAGATTTATTAAACTTTAGGTTCTACACTGGTTATATGACCTGTGAATCATAAATCTAATTGTTTGAACTATGACTGCTCAATACATAGGAGCTTTAGAAAAATAGTTGAATCAGCTGTTTAGTCTTTTTCTCGGGTTCAATATTACTTGAGTTTACAGGAGATGGAGACAAAGAAAAAGACATACCTATATATATATATACATATATATCGTGATTACTATATTATTACAAAAGTCAATAATGATGGTCAGAAACGGTATCACCAACTTAGCCTTGAATGTATCTTGGTAACAAATGTCGATAAATGTTCTTTATTTTCAATTCAGTTACTAATTATTTTTTAAACTGACCAAAGTCTACAGTCACTTGTTTAGTACTCTAAAAATACTGAAAAGAAACTAAGTAACAAATGATGAACCCATTTAACTTAATAAAAAAAATTTCTATTTTTATATGGTTAAGTACAAATAATGGTTAATAGTTATTAAAGGCATTTTAGAATATTAATCTTTGAATAAATCAATATTTTTTTCGTAAATGTTCACATGTAACCTAATCAGTTTTGTTGAATTCTTATTAATTTTGGTTAGTTTTATGATGATGACACTTTTTTTTGTATTTTCTAAATTACAAATTATTATTCTTTTAAAACAATCAACTGCTGTTTAGTAATTAAGTAATGAATGTTAGTTGTGTAATTATACTTTACAACTGAAGAACACCTGGAACTCAAAACAGTTACCAACCAACATTGAGGTCAGAATTTTCAATACAAATATCGAAACAGTTCTACTGTATGGGGCAGAAACTTGGAGAACTGGAAAGCTATGATCCAGAAGATACAAGTGTTTATTAACAGCTGTCTATGCAAAATACTTCGGATCCGTTGGCCAGACACTATCAGAAACAACCTACTGTGGAAGAGAACAAACCAGATCCCAGTGGAGGAAGAAATCAGGAAGAAGCGATGGAGGTGGATAGGACACACATTGAGGAAAGCACCCAACTGCGTCACAAGACAAGCCCTCACATGGAACCCTCAAGGCCGAAGGAGGACAGGAAGACTAAAGAACACATTACTCTGAGGAATGGAGACAAATATGAGAAAAATGAAAAAAAACTGGATAGATCTGGAAGGGAGGCCCAGGACAGATTGGGTTGGAGAATGTTCGTCGGCGGCCTGTGCTCCATTGAGAGTAACAGGCGTAAGTAAGTGAGTACGTATAAACATGCTACAATTAAATGTATAACACTATGTAAATGACTAATGTTATATAAATAAACTCTTAAGACTAATGTGAATGATTCTTTCAAGTTTGTCAATAAAATTTCTTGAAACAAAACAACCTTTCCTTAAAAACAAACTCATGATATCTGTTGATAAGCCATCCTTATTCATTAATATACAAGAAACTGGGAAAGTTAGAAACTAGAATTTCTATTTGTATGCTAAAAGTGTTACTTCGTAAGTGGACAACGAATGTTTAATGCTCACTGTCAGTTCAATTGCAATCATCAGTATAGGGTTGTTAAACCATCATAAAAACCTGAAAGTGCTGAATGGCTGTCTCATTAATGTGTGGAAATCCTCTTTAGAGCTCATCTACAACTCTTCACGAGGGAGTCGAACCCAGGACATTCGGTCCCGCGCAAATGCCTTAATTCTAGAATACTGAGTCTGCATCCAGAGGTATTAATGTTCAACGTCAATCAATCCACGATACTGCGTGACCATTTTTCATTGTGCTTGGTGTGTAACTTCCTCATATATGCTCTCTAGTGACTAGCTTCAAGAAGGAATTCTCCGAGTTATATTAAGAAACCGTGACCAGTGGAGTTCAACTATGTCAGGTGTGAGGCAGTTACTCGCCGAATACAATGGAAGATGGTCGCATAATTTCGTAAAATCAATCATAATCTTGCATTTTATTCTCACTATACAGACGACGCATTTCTATTACGTACGAATGAAATGGAAAAGATTAGTATTTCTAGAAGATTTAACACACTTCATCCACCGACCAACTTCACATTGGATGAAGAACTTAATGATATTATCTCATTTCTAGTTGTCTCATTAACAAATAGGCTGAGTGAAACATTAAAAAGAACTGTGTCTAGAAAACCGATTACACATAGTACACCCATTTTAATAATTCTATACCACTCAAGTACTAAAGAGAGAGTACAACACGATATCTTAGGTGATCCCATTAAAAAGGATTTATTCTCCATCAACAAATTAATTCATCAAAATACATTAGAAAAAGTATGATCCGGTCTAGAACCAAGTTGGAGTTAATGACAACTGCTAAAAAATCTATGTCTTTGAAATGTAGATCTAAAACAAAAATGTTAACGAAATAGTAAATCAATGGGTAAAAAAAATCTAAACTGGATATCCTATTCTCTGACCATCTTATCATTTGCATCGAAAGTAAGATTAAAAATTTCGAATTAGTATCACTCATGTCCATTCGCCAATTTAAATACTCTTTTTGAAATATTTACATTGAGTGTACAATTAGATAAGTCCTTCACTTAATTTTTGGACGTCATCCAACTTGGTTATTGAATTACTTACTTACTTACTTACGCCTGTGACTCCTCGTGAAGGAGCATAGGCCGCTCACCAGCATTTTCCATCCAACACTGTCCTGGCCAATCCTTTCCAGCTCCTTCCAGTTGTTATTCATTCTTTCCATATCTGCTTCTATTATCCGACGTAATGTGTTCTTCGTCCTTCCTCTTTTCCGCTTCCCTTCAGGATTCCAAGTTAGGGCTTGTCTCGTGACACAGTTTGATGAGTTGCGTAATGTATGTCCTATCCATTTCCATCATCTTTCCCTAATTTCCTCTTCAGCTGGAAGCTGGTTTGTTCTCTCCCACAAAAGGCTATTGCTGATGGTATCCGGCCAATGGATGTTGAGTATCTTGCGTAGACAGCTATTTATAAATACTTGTACCTTCTTGATGGTGGTTGTTGTAGTTCGCCAAGTTTCAGCTCCATACAGTAGAACTGACTGTCTTGACGTTCGTATTGAAGATTCTCACTTTGATATTGGTTGAAAGTTGTTTTGAGTTCCATATGTTGTTCAATTGTAAGAATGCTGTCCTTGCTTTGTCAATCCTTGCCTTTACGTCTGCATCTGAGCCTCCTTGTTCATCGATGATGCTTCCTAGGTATGTGAAGGACTCTACATCTTCCAGAGTTTCGCCATCAAGAGTGATTGGATTGCTGTTTTCCGCTTTGAATTTGAGGACCTTGGTTTTCCCTTTGTGTATGTTGAGGCCAACTGATGCAGAGACTGCTGCTACACTGGCTGTCTTCATCTGCATCTGTTCGTGTGTACGCGATAGGAGGACTAGGTGATCTGCGAAGTCCAAATCGTCTAATTGATTTTGAGCTGTCCATTGTATTCCGTGTTTTCCCTCAGATGTTGAGGTCTTCATAATCCAATCGACCACCAGAAGAAAAAGGAAGAGAGAGTAGACAACCTTGTCTGACTCCAGTCCTTACTTGAAATGG